CTCCGTCCCTGCCGCGGGACGGAGGAGGGCGCGGGGGCCGCGGGGCCGGGAGCACACGCTGACAACGCTCCCGGCAAACAGACGGGCGAGAGCTCTTCCTGCGCCGCCGCACAGCCCAGCCACAGACCTGCCATGGGCAACTCGCCTCAGCACCACGCAGGTGAGATATATAACTACAAGTGTCACTAAGGCTGAAGAGAGAATCGTGATCTCTGGGGAGAAGGGGGAAGAGGCATCTCTTGCCACATGTCAGCCAGTAACTTCAGAACGCAGCTGCAAACCCTCAAAAGCCGCTGCCGGCAGCGGGCGCGTGGGTGGCAGAGGCCCAGCAGCGAAGCCCTGCTCCTGCTGCCTGGCCACAGCCTCTCACTGGGGGCTACAGACACAGCTACATCCAGCTTCATCCACACAGTGCCCCCATCGACAGGCAATCTCGGGGGCTTAATTGCCAAGCGCCGCTTCTGTCTTATAATTGTTACTGCGATCGGAATTTCAAACAGTCCCAGTGCAGCAGTTAGTCATAAAATCTATTTCTAGGAGATAGTCGATCTTTCCTCATCCCCAAAAGCCCACGGCCAGGACAGCTGGTTAATAGACTGAAGGAATTCATCGTAACCACTGGGGACCCAATTAGCAGAATGGACTTGGGTGAGGGGAAAGGGAACAGGAAATGCCAGTCATTTCCTACTTACCATATTGAACTGCTGCTGCAGTTTTTCATTGGCATAGTTGATACAGAACTGTTCAAAGCTGTTGATTTCGAATGTCTCAAATCTAAAATAAGCAGATACTCAAAATTGCTAGTGCAGTGAAAAAAACAGATTAAATGGATCTGTAATTTCAAATTCCCTCCCTCCAGTCAAATTCATTGCATTATTCCAGGCACAAACGACCACAATCAAGCAATGAAGCACACAGGGAAATGGCAAACTGCAGTAGATGGACAATTCAGTGATGCTCTCTCTCTTTAGGCAGGGATAAGGAACATAGGGAAGGAACTGATGTTCCTGGAGAGCAGGCTAATTATCTTTGTCCTCTCTAGAAGTGCTACCCTGGATGAACCGTGAGATGTCAATAACCTTGTAACTTTCCCCAGTGCAATACAAGAAGGAGCTACCAACAGCAAAAATCTGAAATCCCACTATAAACATCAAACCTGAAAGTCAGGACAAAGATCTTAGATAGCATGTCAAAACTAAACACCTACTTCCTTCAGCTGAAATAAGCAGCTGTTAAGGGCTTGGTTGTTTTGTTTTTTTTTTGTTTTTTTTTTTTGTGTAAGCCACACAGTGCTACACGATGAAGACAAAGACGCTTTGCAGTAAGACAATTATGTAAGAGGTGTCATATCTCTGACTAAAAGACTCACCCATAAATGTCCAACACTCCAATGAAAGAATGCTGCTTTACGGTAGCATGAAGAGCTTTGTTCACATGATCTACAATCCAGTTAAAGAGATTAGCATAGATATGTTTGGCAAGTGCATCTCTGGCATTGATGGCATGAAGTTTAGAAATTGGCTTGATGTAGGTTTCGGTGGCAGTTGCAAGCTTCCTATGGCAAAGCCAGTGGGCCATCTCCTCATACTCCACGCCCATGAGGTCGCAAAAGATGGTGAGGGGTTCGTGCTTGGGCTAGTAAAAACAATCTCGTTAAGTCTTGAAACAGCATTACCAATAGCACTTATGCAATTGCAAGACCTGCCTGCAGCAGTCCGACAATAAGCAGCAAAGCAGCTTCCTCAGCTCTTCCTCCTTCAAAGTGCAACAGGTTCCCTACCCACTTACTACACTCACATCACTGAAGTAAGTTATTCTCAGTGATCTCACTGTCTCTCAGTGAATTCCGGAGACAAACTTATAATAAGAGACTGTAGCACACAAATGTTGTTCTCTAACTCTCAAATAGGACTACAACTGAAAAATTTTACCTTTGTTTAACCAAGTAAAATCAACTAGCTTGGCTTAGACACTGAGATGGGTATATAAGATTTCTGCATAAAAAAAAAGGTGTAGCACATTTACTACCCAATGGTTTAAGATACTACACCTTGTGACTAACAATCAAAGAAATCAAGAAGGACAGACAGGTCTTTCCTCCTAAGGAACTCCCTTAACGCTACTTCCTCATCAAGCTCACTTTGCACCCCGTGGCTCAACAGCACGCTGACAAGCAGCATCTCGACAAGGACAGATTACAGGGGACTGTTATTACATGCCCAGTAGCTTCAGGGTACATGAGCTTTATCTTTCTATTTCCACATCCTCCTGACTTCTCTGGGGCTTCTCCCAGATCTCACAGCATACAGGTCCCAGGGTAGTGCTGTCATACTTCCAAAACCCAGTTAACTGAGCATGTCTTCTTTCAGTTTAGCCATACCACTTCAACTGCTCAGGAGACAATAGTAAAGTAATAATAATAATGAACACTGCACAGAAGAGTGTCACATTAGGGTTACTCAAGCTGACATTAAACAAACTGATTCATTCACACAGCACTGTGTGGTGCCCTTCGCTGAGCTCCCTGAAGTGCCACCACTGCGTCAGCACACCAGTGCTGCCCAGGCTGACCTGTGTGCACAGTGACAGAGCTCTGCTACGACCTGGCTGTTGTCAGAGAAGCACGGCTCAGGTAGCAGATGCCACTGAGCAGGCATTCACTCTGCCTGCTACACGTGTGCCATGTCAGGATAGGGTTGCACGGGAGCTCACTGCTTTGTACTGGCTCATTCAGTGGGATTCCTGCGTTGGGGATACCTGTTACAACACAGGTTAGCTCATCTCATCTGGGGCTCATGAGCTTTCCACCCGTGATCATTAAATGACACTTTCTCTGTCATGAAAACTTCTTTAAGACGCAGCAAAGAGCCATATTATCGCTGTGGTTTCCCAGCAGCTATCCATTAGATCCTGGAAAGATGGTGTCAGACCAGGCACACTGATCACCTGTGGCCCGATGAAGGACCTGTTGTCTCACCTCCAAAAACTGCTACTGTGGATTCTTGAGAAAGCAACAGATAGTAAAATGAGGAAAAAAAACCCAACTGTTGCTATTATTTGAAGAAAGCAAAAGATGAAGACTGTGTAGTCCAGCAGTAGACGTTGAAGGAAAGGCAAAGAAACCAGACAGGTCTTTTTTGTTTCTCATCTCCAGAATACGGACTTCAGTAAAAAGCCTTCGTCCCCGCTGAATGATGCGCTTTTACCAGATCAGACTATGCAGTCCTCATTGCTGACCTCCACAAAGATAAAGGTCTGATAAACCCACAACGCTTAGATTAGTCACACGAGTCATATCTGTATATCCTGTGCTCATGTCAGAGGACTCTGCAAAGCATTTGCTTTGCAATTATTTAGGCCATTTTGGCATTTAACATTAAAAAAAACCCAAACGACTCTGAAAATAATTTACTGTGGGCAGGGAATATATTAATGTAGGAATATAATGATCTAGACACCTGCCTGGACTTCAAAGCTAGCCTGCCTGGTAGACTTTTCCAGGACAAATCAATTACAGTTTTGAAATGAAATTAAGGGATCCACTGTTATAATACAGAGAGCACTGTCTCTCCCAAAGGGATGCTGTCTAAAGCCTCTAAATTGAGAAGAGTTCAATGCATCTGCAAGAACAGCTGTGAAAATGTTAACAAACTAGAAATAAACACACGGCTTGTGTTTTTGTATTGTTACTCTTTTTCAGAGGAGGTCCCTGCAAACAAGCAGAAGGTAGAACTGTCAGAGTAAAACCATGCCCTTCAACTCATCTGCTACTCACAGGAATAGTGCAGCTGTCAGAATCCCGAGATGCAAACTCCACGTTGCCTAAGTGAAGGATGCCAGCAAGGATTTGAAAAATTCCCATCTGGTAGGAGTCACTAATCCCTAAAAAATGACGAACAAAACGTTTTGAATGGAGAGGGAAATAAAGAACCACAAGCTGCAGTTGATGATAAATTTTATTAAGAAGAGGAGAAACAGTGACTACTCTGTGTCTTTTTCAGAGGCTGGTATTTGACAGTACTGCTTGGCTCTACTTCTATTAAGAACATTTTATAACCAGATAAAAAAAAAATCCATTAAAATGAACTACTTAATTTGCTGTTTCAAAGTTCTTTGTCCATGACCTCCAACACTGTATATGCTACAGCAAGGGAATTCACCATTTATGTTCACATAACGCATGCTCCTCCTACACAAGATATGTGATTCCACTGCAATTGAAATACTTCCTTAATGCAATAAAATTCTCAGTCTCAAAGTTTGTCAAACGCATGTTTTTAAACACAACAGAGTACAAAGACAATATACACAGACACTGTATAATTGCTAATATATTGGATTTGGGATATGACTGTATTTTACATATTACCGAGCAAAGTGCAGGCCTGCCTGGTGTTTACCATTTCCTTAGCATCATCCACACCATCAATCACAGGGCTTCCACCTTGCTTCGTATAGTGAAAGTAATTTGCATTCCCTGTAAGAGAAAAAATCAAATCTTTCACACACAATGATGCAGAAATTCACAGCACATCTGTAAAGCTGTGTAATCATTAAGTTGCTCTTGGCAGAATTCATTATTTGAAATATGTCAGTTTATTTTTTGCCTTCTGGCTCATAGGGCCCACTTATTCTGGAGAAGAATTCTTTCAAGATTTAACAGTGGAAAGAGGTACTCTTAAACTACCTGGTTCCTACAACAGATCCTCAAGCATATTCTCTACCTAACCTTGGTTCAGACTTCTGCGCCTGAGAATAACCACTTTGGAAGCAATTATTCTCCAACTGAGCATTGGCTCAGTCTGAGCCAACCACTCAAGCAGTAGGTGCAGAGCTAAGAACAGCAGCGCTTCGGGATTACGTGGCAGATACTATTATGCTATTATTGCATCAGAATATTTTAAGAAAAATCTAGCTTGCTGTCCTGGTTTGGGGTAAAATAGAGCTGCTTCTGCACAATTATTTTACATTTCAGCTAAAGCTCTTCTAATTAACTGCTCTGTCTGAAGTTAGCAGCATTTTCATAAACTATCTGGTTTTAGCAGTGATAAGACTTCATGTTTAGAGTTGCTGCCAGGGATTGGTGTGCAGACCAAGGCAGCTGCTAAGCTTGGATACCACATGGAGGGGGGCAGAGAGCACCCTGCACCTGTGGGGAGGAGCAGGCAGGATAACTGACCCCAAGATTCACCAATGGGGTGTTCCATCCCACAGCCGGCATAGCCAGTAAAGCTGAAGGATCAGGGGAACAAGCCCTTCTGTCGCCCCTTCTGCTTTCTCTCTTCCATCTCCTTCTGCTGGGCTGCTGGCTGGTTCTGTTGCAGTGGCTGGCACCTGAGGAGGACTTCATCCATCCTGCCTTTGATCCCGAGCCCTGTGCTCCTGAACTGAGTTCCAGAATCCGTGTCCTGTACCCAGTGGCCCTCTGTGGCTGGGTCCAGCCTGGGACCCCCTTCCCCGTGGGCTGCTTCCCAGCCGGGGGTGACAGTGACGTATTGCCATTGGGAGGAGTTGGGTTCGGTACTAACTTTGTACATATTAACACATAGTCTATTTTATTATCATTATTACTATGATTATTAGTGGTAGTATTAAAGCTCTTTCATTTTCTATAAGTCTCTCTCCCTTATTCCCTTTCTCTTTCGGGGGTGGGGGTAGACGGTTAATAGACAGCATCTGTTACAGTTTTGGGGGCTGTCCTGACCCCAAACCATGACAGATTTATTAGCACCCAGCGTGGGGCACAAGCAGAGCTCTGATTAATTGCCTGGATAACTCTCTGTTAAAGAAATATCACCCTTTTCTCTTACGACAGCTTTTAAGGCTTGAAGTTTAAGCAGAGCACTTTCATCATGGAGTTTGTGAAGGCAGTGCTAGTGCGTGTCTTATCAGAGGTTGTTTTGGAGATCAGTGCCTCGCTGTGCCCTCCCGTACCATACACATTCTGTTACGGTCTGCTAGCTCTCACTCTCAGAGCTATTGGCTTTTGCCGCCTGGTGGCGGCCACTCTCTTTTTGTGGGGTTTCT